CTGTATATTCCGCAGTAGTACAGAGTACCGCAGACCCTTGTGAGCCACGAGAGTCTACACCGCCATAGGGTAACCCGCACCTGCTTTGATGGGTCGATGTGTGTGGCGTCCGATGATGAGTAAGCCGTGTCCACGTCGTACACCTCGAAGCGGAGAGTCTGGACCTCTTCGAACTTGAAAGTCTGAGCGAGTTTTTGGTTGTGAGAACCGAGGAAAATGGTGAAGAAAGTACAAGGGGCATCAAACAAGAAGAACACCGGGAAAAAAAAAACACGGTGCGACTATTGCTGCGACGACATGGTTGAGTTGAACATCATGCCTGCATCTCTCCAGGAGAGCCACCCAGCAGATACCTCTGTAGATGACAGTATGCACCGTGCTACCTGAGACTTGATACCGGTAGCTGAAACTCGAGTAGGGGGGGCACTCTTCCGAAGATGACCATATCCTACGGTTCAATCTCCAGCCCCTGACACCTCCTGAACGGTTCGAAAGCTACTCTCTCGTATGCATCGTTTGCCTTTCACCTTCAGCAGTACTAGTTTGGTCTCTTTACTATCTGCGATGTCAAATTTCCCCGAAACACACAAACAATGCTTGCCCCTTTCCCTTCCCAAACTACTTTGATCTTCCCATCTACCCCCACTCTATTCATTTCACGGACGGCGCTGCTGTATCGGCTCTATGAACGCATGAGCGCTCTCTCCCACCGCCTGCTCCCCCCCTCCCCCCTCTTGATTGGATGGCGTTTCCCTCTCACCACCGGCACGATGGTGACGAACTTAGGGTCGAGGCTGTTGGTGATGATCTCCGTCCTACCGATCTCCTTGCTTTCGTTGCCGTCCGAGGGGGAGTGGAGCTTCACCAACTGAGACGGACAAACACAAAAACACAAAGCCGTGCTGTGGGATAAGGATTGCGGTATCGGGAGTATGTAGCAGTCGAGGCAGAAGCTGGCCCAAATGTACCGTGAACCAATCTTGGGGAAGATGTTGACCGCTACAGAAAAATAATCCATGGTTGGCGCAGACCCGCTGCTTCAAGGGGGGTGTGCAACAGGCCGGTGCCCTTCAGGCTAACAATCTACGTTTCCATCCAGATCCAGTGTTGAAAATTTGACTTCTTTCACAAGACGTGTAGGGCGAAAAACGCGACTCTTTCCCCAAGGAATCCCCTTGGCCGCATTCTATCTCAATAAATGTATATACATGTCACAAAGACTCGCAGAGAAAGCTTAAAAATGCCATTTGCTTGGCAGCTCGACGTTAGACGCCGAGAAGGGCCTTTCTCAGCTATGTTTGGTCTACATTACTGCCCCCCCCCCCCCCCCC